GGAAGTCTCTCGGATGAGAGACGAAACGTTTCTACATTTTTTTGTTGATTTGCTTTGTTTTGTTTTTTTGAATGTCCAGAGGACCAGATTTAACTTTTTTAGATTTTTCTACCTGGATTATTGAGCATGCATCAGGATGTAACACTTTAGCCATCTTGTTAGCCGCTAAGGACCGTATCTTTAGCAATATGATGAACTGTTGATTTATTAATGTCGCGCTTCCTCTCTGTTCCTCTAAAAGGCACACAAAACGGCTAAATGAGTTCTGAAACGTGGTTTGTTTCAGGGAAGCAGACAGGTCTGTCGGAGCTGGTAGCTTCAAGGTTCCAAGTGGGGGCTCACTACCGCAGTTCACACACGCTCACTAACGTGAAGGCAGCGCAGCTGAATGGACTATAGCGCCTTTCTATCTTATCAAGACACTCAAAGCTCTTTAATACACAACCTGTGCCCTCATTTACCCATTCAAACAGCACTCTACTAAATCTTTACAAGGAATAATCAGAGCTTTATCACATTCATACACAGATGGGACACACATCGGAGGCAATGAGGGGTTCAGTGTCTCACTCAGGAACATTCAGCATGTGACTGCTGGTGGAATCGAACCCTCAACTCTCCCATTGGAGGACGACTGCTCTAGCCTCTCAACCACAGCTGCCCCCAGCTGAAGAGGATTATTATTTAATATATGTAAATAGATATCTAAAAAATAAACTATTTAATATATGTAGTCTATTTTTTAGGCATTTATTTTGTAGTTACAGCTGTTAATAAATGTGCCTGTGTGACAATTGGGACAAAACTTTGACTCAAATTTTTTTTGTTTTCATCATTCGGCTGCTCCCTGCATTAGGGGTTGCCACAGCGAACTAAGTTGCACAAAGATGTGGCAGTTATTTTTACGCCGGATGCCCTTCCTGACGCAACCACAGATCACCAAGCTACCACAGCCCTCTGTGTGGTGCAGAGAGCTGCTATCTAGGACATCCCGAAGAGCAAATGGTGGGGGGTTAAGGGCTTTTCTCAAGGGCCCAGAGTGGGGCAAATGAGGGTGGGAGCAGGTGTGGGTGCTTCACCTACCCAACCCACATTTTTGACGTTGTCGGTACCGGGGCTTGAACCGGCGATCTTCCAATCACAGGCCCACCTTCTCTAACCTCTGCGCCACCACTCCCTTGCCTGTGTGACAATTGGGACAAAACTTTGACTCAAATATATTTTTGTTATTACTTTACGGAAATAAAAAATATCAAGATCCATCCATCCATCCATCCATCCATTTTCTTCCGCTTATCCGGGATCGGGTCGTGAGAGTAGCAGCCTAAGTAGGGAGGCCCAGACTTCCCTCTCCCCAGCCACTTGGTCCAGCTCCTCCGGGGGAATACCGAGGCGTTCCCAGGCCAGCCAAGAAACATAGTCCCTCCAGCGTGTCCTGGGTCTTCCTCTGGGCCTCCTCCCGGTGGGACGTGTCCGGAACACCTCACCAGGGAAGTGTCCAGGAAGCATCCTAAACAGATGCCTGAGCCACCCCAACTGGCTCCTCTCGATGTGGAGAAGCAGCGGCTCTACTCTGAGTCTCTCCCGGTTGATCAAGCTTCTCACCCAATCTCTAAGGGAGAGCCCAGACACCCTGCGGAGAAAACTCATTTCGGCTGCTTGTATCCGAGATCTCATTCTTTCGGTCACAACCCAAAGCTCGTGACCATAGATGAGGGTGTGAACGTAGATCGATTGGTAAATTGAGAGCTTTGCCTTTTGACTCAGCTCTCTCTTCACCACGACAGACCTGTACAGTGCCTGCTTCACTGCAGATTCTGCACCTATCCGCCTATCGATCTCACGTTCCATTTTTCCCTCATTCGTGAACAAGACCCCAAGATACTTGAACTCCTCCAATTGGGGCAGGACCTCCTCCCTGACTCGGAGAGGGCACTCTACCCTTTTCCGGCTCAAGACCATGGCCTCGGATTTGGAGGAACTGATCCTCATCCCGGCCGCGTAACACTCGGCTGCGAACCGCTCCAGCGAAAGCTGTAGATCACGATCTGATGAAGCCAATAGGACCACATCATTTGCAAAAAGCAGAGATGCAATCCTAAGGCCACCAAAACGGATCCCCTCAACACCTTGGCTGTGCCTAGAAATTCTGTCCATAAAAGTTATGAACAGAATCGGTGACAAAGGGCAACCTTGGCAGAGTCCAACTCTCACCGGGAACAAGCCCGACTTACTGCCGACAATGCGAACCAGGCTCTGACACTGGCCATACAGGGACCTAACAGCCCGTATCAAAGGGCCCGGTACCCCGTATTCCCAGAGTACCCCCACAGGGTTCCCTGAGGGACACGGTCGAACGCCTTCTCCAAGTCCACAAAGCACATGTAGACCGGTTGGGCAAACTCCCATGCACCCTCCAGGACTCTGCTGAGATTGTAGAGCTGGTCCAGTGTTCCACGACCAGGACAAAAACCGCACTGTTCCTCCTGAATCCGAAGTTCGACTGTCTGACGGACCCTCCTCTCCAGAACCCTCGAATAGACCTTATCAGGGAGGCTTAAGAGCCTGATCCCCCTGTAGTTGGAACACACTCTACGGTCCCCCTTTATGAATGGGGGGACCACCACCCCGGTCTGCCAATCCAGGGGAACTTCCCCCGATGTCCACGCAATATTGCAGAGTCACGTAAGCCAGTACAACCCTACAACATCCAGAGCCTTAAGGAACTCCAGGTGAATCTCATCCACCCCTGGTGCCCTGCCACCAAGGAGCTTTTTAACCACCTCGGTGACCTCAGCACCAGAGATTGGAGGGCCCGACCCAGAGTCCCCAGGCTCTGCTTCCTCAGTGGAAGATGTGCTAGTGGGATTGAGGAGGTCTTCAAAGTATTCTGCCCACCGACCCACGACATCCCGAGTTGAGGTCAGCAGCGCACCACTCCCACTATAAACAGTGTTGGTGGCATACCACTTTCCCTCCCCGAGACGCCGGACGTTAGATCAGAATTGCCTCGAAGCCGTGCGGAAGTCATTCTCCATGGCCTCTCCAAACTCCTCCCATGCCCGAGTTTTTGCCTCAACGACCACCTGAGCCGCATGTCGCTTTGACTGCCAGTACCCATCAGATGCTTCCGGGGTCCCACAGGCCAAAAAGGCTCGATAGGACTCCTTTTTCAGCCTGACAGCATCCCTCACCGACGGTGTCCACCATTGGGTTTGAGGGTTGCCGCCGCGACAGGCACGACAACCTTGCGACCGCAGCTCCAGTAAGCCACCTCGACAATAGAGGCTCGAAACATGGCCTACTCAGAGTCTATGTCTCCCTCCTCCCCCGGAACATGTTCGAAGTTCTCCCAGAGGTGGGAGTTAAAACTCTGTCTCACAGGAGACTCTGCCAGACGTTTCCAGCAAACTCTCACAACACGTTTGGGTCTGCCAGGTCTGACCGGCATCCTCCCCCACCATCGGAGCCAACTCACCACCAGGTAGTGATCAGTTGACAGCTCCGCCTCTCTCTTCACTTGAGTGTCCAAGACATGTGGCCGTAGATCAGATGAGACAACAACAAAGTCGATCATTGAACTGCGGCCTAGGGGGTCCTAGTGCCAAGAGCACATATGGACACCCTTATACTTGAACAAGGTGTTCGTTATTGACAATCCATGACGAGCACAGAAGTCCAACAACAGAACACCACACGGGTTCAGATCGGGGGGAGCGTTCCTCCCAACCACAGCCCTCCAGGTCTCACTGTCATTGCCCACGTGAGCATTGAAGTCCCCCAGCAGAACAAGGGCGTCCCCAGGAGGTGCACTTTCCAGTACCCCCTCCAAGGACTCCAAAAAGGGTGGATAATCTGAACTGCCGTTTGGTGCATAAGCACAAACGACAGTCAGAACCTGTCCCCTACACATAGGCGGAGGGAGGCTACCCTCTGATTCACCAGGCTGAACCCCAACACGCAGGCACCAAGATGGGGGGCAATAAGTATGCCCACTCCTGCTCTGCAGCTCTCACGAAGGGCAACTCCAGAGTGGAATAGTGTCCAGCCCCTCTCAAGGAAACTGGTTCCAGAAACAGAGCCATGTGTAGAGGTGAATCTGACTATTTCTAGCCAGAACCTCTCAACCTCACACATCAGCTCAGGCTCCTTCCCTACCATTGAGGTGACATTCCACGTCCCAATAGCCAGCTTCTGTAGCCAAGGATCAGACCACCGTGATCCATTTTGTGTCACAGGGGTTGCTGGTGCCCATGTCCATCAATCACTGTGCGAGGGGAGGGGTACACCCTGGACGGGTCACAAGTCCATCACAGGGCTGTCGCCAAACCCTATGTGTCATTTTTCACCACTTTGTATTGTCTGTCCAAACAGGTCTCACTTATAAATGAGTTTCCAAGGCGTGACATATCTGTTTAAATAAAGGTTGAATGATTTAATGAAAAATTAAATGAGAATACCTTCCATGCCACAGATCCTTGCCTGTACATCCCTCGCTTTGCTCACATGTTGGCGTTTGGGATGAAGACTCATGAGGTTTCCATGACGGCTCTTCGTCTTGTTCAAAGGATGAAGAGGGACTGGATGCACACTGGCCGCCGACCTTCTGGACTCTGTGGAGCAGGTACCAGTTAGATGCTGTCAACACGCCTAACCCCTAATCTGTTCTAACAACAAAACTGATGATGTTTTACAAACCAGATGTACTCTTTTCTTCCTCAGCCCTCCTGGTCGCAGCACGGATGCACAAGTTTCGTCGATCAGTAAAGGATGTAATCAGTGTGGTGAAGGTCTGCCAGACAACTCTGAGGAAGAGGTCAGGGTTAAGAACTTCACACGGAATAGAAAATTCAAATACATGCGATTCCAGCCAGAAAAGTCCATTCTGTAGGGACCAACCAGAAGAGTTAAATCTGTAGGTCCCAACCAAGAGAGTCCAATCTATAGGTCCTGACCAAAAGAGTCCAATCTCTATGTACCAACCAGAAGAGTCCAATTTGTAAGTACCAACCAGAAGAGTCCATTCTATAGGTCCCAACCAAGAGAGTCTAATCTGTAGATACCATTCGGGAGAGTCCAATCTGTACGTCACAACCAGGAGAGTCCAATCTGTATGTCCCAAACACAAGAGTCCAATCTGAAGGTACCAACCAGAAGAGTCCAATCTGTAGGTACCAACCAGAAGAGTCCATTCTATAGGTCCCAAACAGAAGAGTCCAAACTGTATCTACCAGTCAGGAGACTCCAATCTGTACATCCCAACCATGAGAGTCCAATATATAGGTCCCAACCAAGAGAGTTCAGCCTGTAGGTACCAGTCATAAGAGTCAAATCTGTAGATCTCAACCAGGAGAGTCCAATCTGTAGGT